CCTGTGTGCCATGACCGGGGCCTCCTGCCCTTGAAAGTGCCCCACCTGCCCAAGGACCAAACACATCCCTCTTCCTGGTAATCGGGACGGAGAGGGTTAACATTTTCAGAGAATCTTCAAGTGACAAACTACCACAGCCGCATCCTGTGCAGTCCCCCCTTCCCTCACACCCTCCTCTCTGCAGACCTCCAGGCTCCCTCTACCTTGATGAGCTGTTCCCTGCTCAGTGAGTTGTCTTTCTTGCACAGTGTATGCAGAGTAACTGTCCGCTTCCTGAGGGGAGGAAAAGAGGAAAGACATGTTTAGGAAAGATGGGGGAGATGGGTTAAGGGCAAATTCTTGTTGACAATGTCATGTTTCAAACTGCCTCAGGGTTCCTCTGAGCAGGAAGGTCTCTGCGGGACTGGGGCAGGGCTCTTATGTCGGTCACGTGGGCCCCTCTCCATATCTATGGAGCAGCTCTGTTTTAACCAGTTTGGGATTCAACTGGGCATACGGCTCAGGTGCTGAAAACACTTGAAAATCTCCCATTTGGCTCAATGCCATCTCTGACATTGAAGGAAAATGACTCCTGAAGCAGAGCTAGTGGCCTGAGGTCCCAGGGAGCCTTAGACACCCCACCCACCAGCCCAGTCCCTGTCCCCAGGGTTGGCTGCCTCCCAGGAGGTGAGGGGACATTGGGAGACATTTGGGTGACACCTCCCCATGCCTCCTCTGATGGGAGAGGCCTACGCACCTGGAAACTTTCCCCCATGTTTTCTTCAGACGATGGACAGACATGCTCTGCAGAGCAGCTAGGATGGCGTGCAGGGAGGAGAAGTTCCTTAGGCTTCTGCACTCCTGGGGAAGGGGAGACATGGGCTGTGAGGTGGGAGCTGTAGCTGTTGCTTCAATCCCCCTTGAATGACACCCCTTCCTGGTGAGAAAGATGCCCAGGTTGGGCACGTTTAGCAGCCAAAGACCAACTCTCAGAAGATGAGGATCCCAGCTCAACCCAAGGAAGGAGCCAGGTAGGAAGTGAGCCTCCCACCATGGAGACCTGTGCATCAAGGTCCACGAGCCCCTGGCAGAGAGGACCTGGAGGCTGTGCTGGGGCTCCGACCTCAGGCCTCAGTCCTGAGAGCTGACCAAGCAGCAGAGGCATTTTTCAAGTCTCCGCATAGGGACGCTGCTGGGCTGCTGGGCC